TGTGAGCTTGCGAATATTTTGGGGTATACATTTCTTGTCTTTTTTGTTGTTGTTGTTTGTTTTTGACTGACCTCGTCTACGAGTTCAATCGCGGTATTAGGACAATGGTTGCACCCACTCCAAAAGCCGCTGTATATCCCCTACCGTAATTACTTTCCAACTCTTCCATTCCATTTTATCAGTGTCAGTTAAATGGACGATATGGAACTGCCGTTTTCCCCTTGAATTGCCGGTGTCTTCTCTCGATTTTACACTGTAGAATGTTTAAGCTTGAAAACTACTGATTTCTGTATATATTGCCATGATTATCAGTAACGAGGAGCACAAAATACTACCATGTCCGTGGCGGTTTTCACGATTTATTGACACGGGACCAGCTGGGGACCAACGAAAGAGCGCCCCTTGTGCATAACAGTACCTGTTTTCCATGGGTAATGTCTGACAGTATCTAAGCGAGGTCTAAAAAACGACGAAGTAAGTGACTCTTTTGTGCGGTGCACGTGAGGCAAAAGTAAGCTTAGAAATTGATCGATTTTGAAGAGGAATAGGATGGTGTCGACAGTCAGTTGCCGAGAAATTATAGGGAGTAAACTGTGCTGGGGACTGGACCGGCTCGGGGAGATCTTGGTTGAAACTACTGCTGGTAACAAAGGACATTACGGCGCGCCTATACTGCGATGATGCATACGTGAAGTAGCTCACCTGGCGGATTATTATGCAGCAAGATTCAAAAAGAAATGTAGGCGCCGTGTATGAAGCCTGTAGCCAACAAAGGGGATTATTTGACTGACACGTACGCAAAGTGAGCTATGCAACAACACATACATCACGAATGTTTCTCTCGCCGAATTTGGGCAGGATGTGTTTTGCCGGCGCTAGAGTCATGCGCCCACAGGCAAATGACATTGAAAAAAGAAATAATATTTTGTTGACAGCTTTACGCTTGGTCGGCCATGCGACGGCGGTGAGTCCGCTACAATCGGCCGTACAATTTGCTCGGCGGAAATCAGTTTGTAACGAGGGGTCTTTGTTGTCTGACTGGTCCCCGAGACAACCTTGTCATAGGACGCTACGAGTCTGTTAGATCTTTGTACATGGATAGGAAACTGGGTTCCGTTCGTCCAACTCGACGAGGGCCATGCCTCTCCTAAAATAGACTTCTTTATAATTTAAAAAAAATAATGAAGGAGATGGGTTTCGGGGACTTCTTGATTTCCTTCCAAATGCGTGTCACAAAAGTCCCCAAAATAATGCAGTTTCACCCCTCAAAAAAGGCCATAAAGGTTAGTGATTGTAAAATTCCCAAATTTTGGGACCTCCTTGAAAATACTGTTGTCAACCCGAAAAGTCGGATCTGCTTTGACGCTGTGATGACTAAATTTACGGGGACACTCATAATTCGGAATCAAAGATAGGTTTCAGCATTGCCTTTTAGATTGACGACAAGTATTTTGTCGAGTCCGTACATTGGAGACACATCAGCGACAGTACACCAGCCTTGCTACACAGCATACCGAACAGACGGGGATTGCTAGCGCGTGCGAGCCTCTGAACACGCCGTCTCCAGTCTGTTTCAGTCGGCGAGGCTCGAGCATCCAAATCCCCCGTATTTCAAACCCCAACTGCTTACAAATGTACCACGTTTGAAATAATTTTTGTTCCATAAGAGGGCCAGGTTTTCTTTACAGACAAAAGAACCTGACAGAGCGTCATTGGAAGACATGGTTCATATCACCCTTTAAAAACATAGCCAGAAGGGTATAACATTAGTACAAGTACTTCTCATCATTAACTCTTGACTGTTTTTCATTTCGTCTCTGCCACGACCAGTAGCCTGAGTTCAATTTTACTCATATCGTTGATAAAGACATAGACAAGCACAAGTACGGTATGTTTTCATAAAGGCCTATAGACCAAAGTTTACATGATGGCATTTACCGACACCAAATTGTGTCAAGTGCAAATATGTCATTCAAGATTACTGCACTGTCTGCAATACACGTAGAAAATCAATGAACCATGACACACCATCTTTGTAAAGAAGTGTTGAATCTGAAGGCGTCTGTAAAAAACGAAGATGAGCGTGAGACGAGCAACATATGGGCTATTCCACGTTCTGTTTATTGAAACAGAAGTATATGGCTTGCAAGCATGACCCACGAGTTGCTACAACCGGTTAGAGTGCAGGACTTGCCGTCAACCGTTCGCCTGCAACTTGCCGTGCACCCGCCATAGTCAACAATTCTCGGCGGGCACAGGCAAAGCTTGAAAAACGTCGCCTTTTAACGTCTCCGGCTCTATTCACAGCTGATCTGTCAAAACTTAATTTCGTAATAATCTTGCATTAGCTGACACGATATGCGGTTGCATGAAGTTCCCATCGACAATTACCAAATCAAACTGCTTCGATGTTATCTCCAGTCTTGGCCTTTTGCGCAACTCGAGTCTTCCACATCTCCCAGTAATGACGACACACCCCAGTGGCATTGCTAAAATTGTCCTAACCAGGTATCACTTTGGCACCTGTCAGGGTGCTTTTATTCTCTCTTGTGCCTCTTCGTTCATAGTACACCCCCGCGCGGATATCGAAGTCGATCGTATTTCTGGGCCGGATCAATTTGTAATCGTGATTGTCAGAACGAGAATTCGCACGTTGTTGACCCTGCGTCGTCCGCCTGATAACGACGCCTCAATCCCGGGTGCAGATATCGCTACGAGAGGACAATAATACCGGTGACAGCGTACGGGCGTGATCGATGGCTGTGGGTACCTTGACAATGAAAAAAGTACCTGTTTGTTGTCTATGGACCCCCACCGCGGTCGGCATGTTGCAGTAGCAAATCGAGCCTGAAAAACACCGTCGCATGCACGATCCAGGTTAATGAAACCGCTGGATCCCCAGGTAACCCTAAGAAGGATTCAGTCAAACAGTTTGTGAAACATGGTCGACTTTTCAATCAAGCTTATTTAATTTCCGGATTGGATAATGATGTTATTATGCGTCTGCATAACAGAATATTTCTCTTTGAAAATGCCAAAGTGAGCTAAACCGAGACACATATTTCAAATTGGCAAAAAAAGAGAAGAAAACATTAACATTTTAATATCACGCAGCACTGATGCAAATCCGAACAGAAAGTTAATTCGTGTTATTAACATGAAATAGAAGCAGAGGATTTGGGGCAAATATGAGGGATCAGTGAGCCTACCGTTTACCATGACACACTATCGAAAATTATACATCACTGCTTGACCACAACTTCCTTACCGGGTGTCAAATGGATGTTCCACTGATGATGTAAGTTAACAATACATCAAGACTCGCTCGCCAAATGTTGCAGGTGGCACTTTTAATAACATTTTGCACAACATCTCTGTTGCACAAAGAACATCGCAGTATCCTATATACAAAATCCTTAGAAACAGGGAAAGGAAAAGCCCTCTAAAAAACTGACAAAATCGGCTCATATAAGCTGACTATCGGTTGCTGACTTTGGCTACGGTGAAGTGTTGCGGTCAACTACTGTGCAGTGGCGAATGCGGGAGGTCCCCAACTTACGAGACCCTGCCCTTGGAGAGAAACTGCGTCAGAAAGTGGGCGTGAACCACAACTTTACACTAAAAAAAACTGCAGTGTAGATTCAAGTATACCTCCTGTTCAGTCCAGGCTCGTGTCAATAAAACAGTCACTGTGTTCGACTTTAGGAAAGGCGCCGTTTTGGGAATAACTGCCGTACTCCAGCAAAACATGTTTTCCAATTATGCCCCTAGCTCGGGCTCCAGAAGTTAAGAGATACCTCCACATGCCGTCGATCAACAACACGCACCTCAAGAAAATAAAACCGTTCTCCTCTTTTGGAACCCAGGCTAAATGACTTCGTGATTGTCTGAATGACTTCTTTGGGGGAAAAAATTTCTCTCGGCGTGAAGTTTAATTAAAAAGTGCCACATTGCCATTTGGTGGGTGCTCGTGCGTGGGAGGAGCGCCTCAGCACAATTACTGCCCGCAAATAATTCCACAATTTAGCATTTCTATTTTTTCCCGCTCTTCAAAGCTAATAATCGAGATCCTGCTTTCCCCTTAAAAGTGTGAGTGTGTCCTGTCGCCTATATAGCCCCCGCACTGTTACATCGAGAGAAACCCTGACATGATGTTTCCCTGATAGAATTGAACACACACTTCGTCATGGGCAATGTGTGTGTGCAATATGGGTTCAGGGGAGAGTGTTTTTGAGGGACTGGTATCAACATGTTCCGGCTGAGAAAAATGGTTCCCTCAGTGGAATGGCGAGAGTTATGTAGTTAATACGGGCTGGGGACAATTATTACTTTATAATTACGAGTTGTCGAAAGGTTTAAAGGAACTAACAGATGATCTTTCTCACGTCACTTCTTCGAACCTATTACTTTACAAATTTACTCCTGTAGCCGTGGACAAGTCATTAAAATGTAGTTGTGAGAGAACACTCTATATATGTTTACACACGAGGCATTATATTAAAAAAATACTTTTATTGCAATTTTCAACCGTCGATCTGTTTCGCCTTGTCTCTGTACACCTGTTTTCTATAACTCTGGATGAAATGAATGGAAAAAACTATATATCGAAAAAGCGATGAATCTCAGTTAATTTTGTCTAAGAGCTGAGCTGCTTGTAGGTTTCATGTAAGCTTGATTAAGTTTCGTATCTTCTCTTCTGCTTCATGAAGTTATGTAAAATCACACATGTGTGTATCTATTTTCTTGCACTGAGTGTAATCGGTCCGTATCACGCGTGCAGAGACCCACCAGGCGTCAATGGCATAACAAAAACTGTTATCAAAACGTATGAACTATAATAAGGTAAAGCGATTTCACACATTGCTTCAGGGTGGAAAGACCACGCATTATGCGACACTGCAACCTGCACATGACCTGATGTATTCCGACACACAGCCCAATTTATACAAATGAAGCTTCAAAACCCCCTAAACTTCCTTTACTTTCAAACTGCGTCTTACCTCTCTTTCAAGCCAGCCTCATCGGCAATTTCCTGCGATGTCTTGGGCTGACCTTCAAATCCTGCCAATACCGAGAACAGTCCTGTCTCTTTGCCCACCGCGATAGACAGTGCTATAAAGCCAGCGTTGACAGTCTCCATGATACGAGCGCCGAATTCTGGCATAGATTCACCTGCCGTGTTGGGCGGCTTTGCCACGGGGCCCTCCGTGTCGTCGTCCGGCTGGGCCAGCCAGTCTATCATCGGTGGCGGAGCGCCGTTCATTACGGGCGGCGGGCACGGTGGGAAGAGTTGTCCGTTCATAGCCTTGCTCGGGATTGTGTTAACACCACCGTTTCCACTTTGCATCTTGTCCGAGATATTCTACGAGATTAACTTAGAGAGTATGGATGTGGAAGTAATTAATTGGTGAATTGTTCAGCAATGTAGCAGTGAGTGTGTCATGTAGCCCAACTTGTCTTCGAATGAGTGATGTCAACTACAGAGCGAGTTCGTGACACGCTCCGCTGCCAGCGCCGGTACAATTTTTACAACTTCTCTTGCGTAATGTATGGCAACTGTGACCTGCGGGCAGCAGACAAGTCTATCGCGTCACGCTGATCCCTGCGCGTGTACGCCCAAGGTGAACAAAAAATCTTAACCAGTCGTGGAACCAAGTTCACGCTCTCAGTTGATTGGTCAGAAGATCGGTGACGTCGGTGCATTTGTTTCACCCATTGACGCATCGTGAGAGTATTTTCATGCAGTCATAAAGGTTGTGTCCGAAACAGCCCTCCATGCAGAGCTACGGCTACGTCTATCATGGCATGCGCCCGCGTTCTTTTAACTGGCGAAGGCCTAGCTGGACCTAACAGCTCTGGCTAAGTTTCGGACGCAGCTCAACAGGGCTGTCCTGAACAGAAATCTTTAGTACCGTTTCTCCCATTTTATTGACTTCAAATGATGTGTTGATCTAATTATGAACAAAACGACTAGCAGAGATCCAAAGCCTTCACGATTGTGACTGCGTGGAGATAACATTGGTTTGGTCAATCTAGTGTGATAATAATCCTTGGTGGACTACAAAACCTCAATGATTTCTGCCTCCTGTGAGTCATTGTGACCAGATCGGGACATGAAAAACACACACGCCCAAAAAAACACAATAAAGACTCTTAGGAGATAGATATCAGTTTCAGCGACAGACATGTCCATCGTCACTTCAATGCGTGGTTTTGGCATGAAATGAGACATCCATTTCGGTTGGAGAGTTTTTTTTCCCGCCAAAATACTCCTAACTGTCATTGCTGTAAGGAGAGTCTTCTGTTTTTTTTTTATTAACTGTGTCTTCAGACTACTGACACACCACAGCCGCATCATAATCAGTTTGAATGACACTTCCCATTAGATTAAAAAAAAAATCCACACCGACTTGGTGATGTTGGAGGGGGGAGGCAGAAATAGGTTTGAGTGACATGAAGGGGTCCTGTGGCCAAGCGCTATCAATCACAGTAAACACAAGCCTCGGCTGCACCTCGTGTGCTCAATCCTATCGGCTTCGGGATCGCTAGTTCACCCCACAATGAAAATGGCGCGGGGCCGGGTGGTTTTTTTTTCTTTCTCCCTGCTCTTTTCTTCTCCCGCGCTGGGCTCTGTTTGAACTTTGATACTATTTTGATTCGGGCGGGAAGGAGGGCAAGTCAAGAGGGGAAAAGGTATTCCAACGAACATTATTGGATGCTGCAGAGAAATGCATCTGGTGTTTTTGACTGTAGGGTCGAAGCATGATTTAATATTACCGATTTGATGCCATTCAAAAGGTTATTTGCATAGTGCTTTCTTAGTGAATGCATGGAAGGGTCAAAATACTCGAACTGATAATCTTCTGGAAGTCTTCATACTTCGTCTGTCTGCCTGATCAGAAAGAATTAATTCACAAGACTGTGGATCTTCTTACAAAGCGATTAGGCGTCAAAAACTTGCATGAAAAATCTGGTTTTAGAAGATGATTAAATGACTACTGGTGAATGCAATAAATTTCATGATTGTTTTGACTGCTGCTGATCTTTGAAAGGATTCCTTTTTTATATTTGACGAAGGAGCAAAATTTCAAATCTCAATCCAGGTGGTGTCCATTTAATTTTTCATTACTTCTAAGTTCACGTAACTAAAACTAACCATGTTAATTCAGCAGGGCCTAGGTTTTTATGTGGGCGCCCATACCCAGACAGCGCTTTATTTCAAGACATCTTTATTACACTTTTTCTTTTAGTTCTCCATCGTTAATGAAACCAAGACGACCGTTTTCAGTACAATGCCCCTTTTGTGGACTGTCTTTTCGATTTTCTCTCCTATAACTGGGAAATAATAATTTTTCGTTATTTGTAAGTATCTGAGTGTCCCTAGCTTTCCTGCTCCAGTTATAACAGAGATCGTGTTTGTAGCAGGCTTGGACGCCCACGAGTCACGGCACGGCACGGCGTGTTCAACCTGACACCACTTGAAAATGGGACGAATCTAAACGAAATTTGTCTTCATAGCCTAATCTTAACACAAACACTCCAGGCAAATAAAAAACAGTCCGAAAATTATAGCAGAAAATAGAAGCCGGCTACTACAGTTGTCGGCACAATTCAGAATCACCTCGGACACGCTGTATTGACAGAATATTTTTCGGCATTCCCGCATTTGCGTCGTTATTATCATCCCAGAGTCAACACCACTTGTTAAATTGACTTCTGTTGTGGGCATAATTGCTCCCCGATAAACCGAGAGTCGCCGGGAAACCAGGGAGGGGTGCAATTTGCCGAGTAAATCAGCCCCTATAGTAGGGCCTTTTTTCGGCACAATGTATCTATCGCGCGGACTCTGGCCTGGTCATTAATTTCAGCTATGGCATGAATAGAAGCTTCAGTTGGGTTAGTTGGAGGTGAGCGATGGAAGTGAGCGACCATACCCGTCAAAACGTCGGAATAAGGTCCATCTAAGTGTGTGTGAGTGGGGGGGGGGGCTTTTTCAAGAGTCCCTTGAAAACGTTTTGGCACTTAAGTTATTTCACAATTCCTATTATCAGATTTTGATAATTTTGCTTGCGTGTTGTCGGCACGCTATAACGCCTTCTCTACCAGATGTACGTTTTCTGTATACCGTTAAGTATTCTTTACCAGTCTTTAAATCACCGTATCACACGAATTGTGGAAGCGTGGGTTATATTTCCACGCATTTAGAGTAATGTTTAGTAGGAGACCCAAATTCTCACAAAAGAGTTGGAAATTAGGGCAAAGTCTGCACAAAGCAACATTTTGACAAGGCAATTAGTGAAGTGATAATAAATATGTGTCGGGTAATACAACCAGACAGCCAGACGGGTGTCTGTCTAGCCATTAATAAGAGGGTACATCGAAGCTAGTACGATTATAGTTACTATAAACATAAAAACTTCATGATTAAAAAAATCGCCGCAGAAAAAGATTTTTGAATATTACAAGACCGATCCAGCCTAACCCCAATTTTCTCTTGAATACATAAGAATACGCAACCATACAAATATGACAGTAAAATCGATGACTAGATGAGATATGCCACGTCTATCTTGTCCAAATATCAAAACTGCTAAAACAATACTTTCTGTGGTCACGAATTCTAACGGATTGCCGTTACCGATTCTTTCTGCGTTCAAATCGTCGGCTGCAGAGGCCACTGACAAAGTTTCTGCTGCACAGCGCCTTCCCAAGTGGCTTCAGAGGAGGCAAGTTTCGTTGCTGACCAAAGCCAAGACTTCCAGACGCAACTTTACATTCTTATTTTCGGCTTTGCACACCATCTTGTCAGTGGAGGGCACACCCTGTCATAAGCAACGTTCAGTCTTAGACCTTCGACCCCTTGGGAGACTTACCCGCATCGCATGCGGTATAGCGTGCTCGGAAAGTCATCAGTTCTGTCCGGAAACTTTTTTTATTTCTAAATGTCACACTGTTACTTCTCAAGGAGTTACATGAGCAAGTCGCGTGTGAATTCATCGTGTTTCATCTCCAGAACAAAATGTCTTGATCGTTGACGAAAAATTTGAGTTTATCGTTACGTCCCATTTAAGATAAAATATTGACTTACAGAAGTCCGGCTGTCCCCGTTCAATCCAATGGATGGAAATCGTGGAACTGCATGAACAGCTACCCTGTACTGGCACACATTCTCCTCTGACACTTAGCTACTTCGCTGCTGAAGTTTACAAAGCACGTTTTTTTAACATTGGGAGAAAACAGTCACACACAAAAAAACACTCATAAAAATGCTAACATCTGCCTAACGAATCATCAATCACCACAAGCACATGTTGTTCACTACGTTTCGGCTATCGTGTGCATAATGTTCGTAACAATGGCCGTCGGAACCGGGGGACAGGGGCCTGTCTTAACACATTAACTGAGAGCAAAAATCATGCTTTGCCTAGACATATGGAAGCGTTGATGCTTCTCATTCAAAGTTGGTTTTACTTGCTCGTTGAATTAGTCGAACAAGAAATAAAATCCACGGCATATAGACTCATTGTGCAATCATGTGCGTCGATGCCATACCTTGTCACGAGGTGGATCATAGTTACTGATCACCGTACCCGCGATGATGAATAGTGAATAATCGTGGATAAGTCTGAGTTTCCCAGAACCGACGTGGGTGTGCACGCTCAAGGGTTAGTGAGCGGTGAAACTTGTCACTATGATCAATCAGTTTTCCATTGACAAAGTATTTTTTTCTACCATGAAAGTTCCACTTATGGGTATCTCTGTCATGTGGTTACCTTTTACTGACGATTTTAAGAATGTATGGGGTGAGAATTTATAAAACACAAATTCTCACCACATCCTTTTTTAAAGATAATTATAATTATCTTTCACTGTATTTTCAAACAAAGCAGTGCAGTAAACAAAACTCTGTATTACACTTGGCTTGATGTATGGAAAAAAATCTTTTAGCTGATATTAGCCATGCTTGATAATTCAACCTCATTTCAAATGCAATAAATATTTCACAAAGACTTAAATAATCAATTGCCACTGACGTTATTGAAATTCATAGCCATTCAATTTTGATTAGTACAGAATTGTTGTCTAAAGCAATATACAGTCATTAGAAATGTAAAGAGATTAATTTCAATTTGCAGACGAGCGAAAAAAAAAAACACCAACCAGTCACTCAGCTATCCAACCAAACAGCCAACCAACCAGCCATTCGATTAGCCAAGCAGCCGGCCAACCAGTCGATTGGCCAGTCAAATAGCCAACCAACCAGTCAATCAACCAGTCAGTCAGCTTGCCAGCTGGCAACCAGCCATTCAATCTTCCAAGTAGGCGGCCAGCTTCTGAAACAATGCATTCTGTGATCACGAATTCCAACGGATTACCGTAACTGAGAGTCAGGCTATGTCCAAATGGTCGGCGGCGCCAGCCACAACAATGCTTCTGTGGCAAAGCAGCTTCGCAAGTGGCTTCAGAGGAGGCAGGTTTCATTGCAAACTACCTCCAAGACTTCCAGACGCAACGTCATATTCTGATTTTCAGCTTTGTACATCTTCGTGTCAGTGGAGGGCACACCCTGTCATTAGCAACGTTCAGTATCAGACCTTCGACCCCTTGGGAGACAACCAGACAATCGACCAGTCAAACAGCCAACCAACCAGCCGATAAACCAGTCAACCAACCAGCATGGCAGCCAATCATTCAGTCAGCCAATCAACCAGCCAGACAACCAGCCAGGTAGCTGGCCAACCAGTCAGGCGCCCATTAAGCCAATTAGCCATTAAAATTAAAAAAAAAAACTGGCGATCGTTAATGGTGGTAATGATTTTCGTACACCCCAACGACGGATGCAGGCAATGTGCACTTCCACGCTTTGCCAGGCACATGCACGCCGGCAAAAACACCGACCTCACTTGTCTGCCACATTGTGAAAATTATGCTATACTGAAAATTAGAACTTTATGTTATGATCAGTTAAAAATTTAAATGTGGTTTGCTTCCGCACGTTGACGTCACTTGACAAAGCACAATATTTTTTAAGCACCTGTATCTATAACCACTGTCTTATCGCTAGGAATCTCTTCTCCCAAAACTAAAAGTCATGCGCGTGCAAGGTTTTGCCTTGATCGGGGCCGGCGAGGTTATGGCAAGGTTAAGAATTGTTTCTTGTTTTAGTACCACCGTTGGACCATGAGTAACGGGCTTATCATGTTTGCTATTGCTTATTTTGGCGCATATTCAGCCCTGCCGGTCAGGGGTGCTTCGGCGGTACAACAGCTTATACAAAATTTGGCCGGGAGCGCAAGGCCCATCCCCAAGCGGCCGGAGGGGAAATAGAGACATTCTGTTCTCCTCCGGAGAGCCGCCTTCACGCGTGATCGAGCCCCCTCAATGAACCCAGCCGAAATGCACACCGTCCAGGCAGTTACTGTGACGGGGTAACAGCGTTCCCCGAGACGGCGGAGGGCTGAAGCGGACCACGGTATAATAATAAGCCGATTTCCGGCCGGCAGTTTCCCCCCATATTTTATTTGATCTATTCATGGACTGCGTATTTTAGTGATTAAAAATAAAAGTCACTGTTGTATCGATTTCCGGGGCTCTAGTTCATCGAGAGTTCAGGAACAAAACCATAGAAATGATTTGCAGTTTCCACAGCGACTGCTTTCAGTGTTCAGCATTGCACACGATGCATGTAAGCCGAGGTCTACAGAGAAGATTTCAACGAGTTAAATATTCTTATAAGATACTCAAGGGTCAAGGCGCATTGACAAAGAATGGATTGAAAAACACCCATCCAAACAATTGCAAAAATGAATGAAGTTTAAAAATAAAAAAAGAAAAAGATGCCATGAAAAAAGAATGTCAACTTATCCCAAACGAGTAAAGGAGAAATGTTAAGTTACACAACAGTACTGAACAGCCCAAGCTTAACACCGACCGGAATCCAAGAAGTTTCATAATCCAGTCGAGAGTTTTTCCCACTGAGAGAAATTCTCAAGAAAGCATGACGTTCTTGAATGAACTGTGTATGAAACTTAATTTTACGAAAGGTCGGGACGAAATTTGCTCTCATGTTCATCGCTCTACATTAGTGGTTTTTTTTAATTTCTCTTCCCAGCAAACTGCAAGTAAGCCATGGTTAGTTTTCCTCCTCAAATCCAATTTCTCAAATACTCGTTAATTAAGACGGTACTACCGTATTCTTGAAATCTTACTCTTTCTTTTTCTGTACCAAGCTTAGACCTAATATAGCTCTATGATACCAGTCTATATATGCATACGGAAGCCTAAAGTGGCCGTCCGCGTTTCTCCTGTTCCCGCTAGCATCCATCAATGTCCTGTAATCTGCATTTATGTTTTTTTCCTCACGTGCATAGCCAATATGTACGGAAGCTCAACGTGGCCAGCCGTGTTTTGGCATTTCTTCAATAAATTATTGCGGGAAGACGAATTGGTTTCTCTCCACGATGTCTTGTCTCGGAAAGAAGATCTCTTGACATAATGTTAATGTGTGTTTCTCAGAATCCCATCTCAGAAAAACCGTCTCTCTCGGATGCAGAAGGAAGCGTTTAAGTTCTCAAGTATTTCCGTCTTGACGAGACGTTTATCGGGGAAACGGGAATGGTCACTTTATTTCGCCTTTGGAACTTTTTCTTATGTCTTGCGTACGCTTGACGCAAGGTTTGTCGAGTTTAGTACCCCTCTCTTAAAATATCTAGTTTTCGACCCAGGATGCCAAAAATTGCGGAAGTACAAATGGCCGTCAGTGCAAATGAGAGGATATGTCTTAGAAAAATGTACATGAAATTTCATACATGACGTGTAGCGCGTCATTCCTAATAACAGTTTTTCAGAAACGCGTAAAGCAGGGTTAGCCTATTGCGGTAATCTTTGTATCAAATCATATAATTCCGTCTTGTAACAAGATATTTCAGACTGAAATCCCATGTATCGAATTTCCAAGATACATTATCTCAATAATGTGGATGGTCATTTAAACCTGTGCTAAACATCACGTTCCTCTTCATTTTAATTACAGGTTTTGCCTTTACACCAACGTATATTCATAACACTGTATGCTCAGTGCTCGTCCGAGAGTGTGTGAAAAAAATCGCGGGCTTAAATTAAGCTTAACCAGGAAGTTGTGGGTTCGATTCTTACCCGCGTAAGCTTGTGAATTTTTTCAAAAGCTCTCGGACAAGCACCGAGTATACGTACTGCAAAAACTGGAGTGTTAAATTTGACACCCTCGGTATTATCAGCGGACTACACCAAGACTTTTCACTGGTGTTAAAAAGTTGGTATCAATTTTAACACCCTCCAGTGCATTGTAACACCTATTGGTATGTAAAGTAACACCAGCAGTGTTCAAGTAACACCCTATGGTGTGGTGATCTGATAACACCAAAAAGTGTTGTTTTTAACACCGCAGTTTTTGCAATGCAATGTTATGAATATACGCCGGTGTAAGGGCAAAACCGGTAATCAAAAGCAACATCTCCCCAAGGCAAGTGCATCTTGAAATCACGATCCCTAATACCTAAAGGCTAAAAAATATGTAGCAAGTCTGACTTAACTGAGGCAAAGCCTGCTCGGGTATCTAGTGTTATATTTACGGATATCAGTGTTCCTCACAAAATTAGTATTGTTATTACTATTATTTTTGATATTTTATTCTGCTGTTTATTTTTATTATCATGCATCGCAGCAACAGCTGAAATTACACATTGTTTACAGTTTAAAATGTATCCAAAAGAAGAGTGTATGACAAAAATGCAATTAGAATAAGAAAACATATAGCTACATCAAATGAATTACAATCCGCCCCCAGCGGAACAAAGGAGGGCTTTTTTTAGTACTCACCGCGTAGGCGCGCGCAAGTGTATGCGCGTTAGACGCAGAGCACGCTGAGTACGCGTTACTAAGTTATTCTGCCTTGTATGGTCTTTGCGTACAATAGAACGCGTGCAAGAACCCGCTTGTTTTCGCCATGCACTTCAGCTTGGGGCAGATACAAAACGCTAATTACAAAAAACAGACATTTAAAATCCACTAAAAAAGACATCACACAGATTTATAGTGGATGCGTTCGATTAGCTTACACGTGTTAGTTAAACTTAGATGAGAGCGTTCGTTTAGCCATCACGTGATCCTCATGCCTGCCCTGGTGTCAGCCACCACAACCCCGGCCAGTGAGCAGGTCTGTGGAGGCTGCCCAAGTGTAATGACGTCACGGATGGACTGTTCGAGCAAGGACGGACGTACATGATGGAACGCGGCGGGGACTTGACGTTTTTCCCAGAATGCCTTGGCGAAAACACTGCAGCGTTTGATTAGCCTCATTTCTAAGCTTCCCTTGCAAGTAACACTGGTGTATTCAGGGAAGCTAATCGAACGCACCCCATAGTAAATTACCATATAAGCGATAGAATTGAAAACAGACAATAGAACACACAGTTTACGACTTAACATTCAGCATGTGAATAAGATATGAGATAGGGCTAGTCTGCATTCGGTTGGCTCTACATCTGATTTGCAGATATTTGCTGATACTCCGTAGAGACTTTGGATTTCAGTTGTGAGCGTGTGCCGTCTGAATGTTTGAATACGGACGTTTCACAGTAGTGCGCTTTCAAGAGTTTGCAGCGCGTTAAGCATTATTCACAAGGTGCGAAGTCTGTCGACCCTTTCCAAACGTGCTTTGGATCGATAGATTTCGCGCACTGTGATTGGTCATGTCAACGCATTTCAAAGTCTTATAGGTGCACTGTTATGAAACGCCCGTGTCTTTTTCCATGAACGATATACACAATGATTCTCTTCGATTTTCCAAGGATTTTCCAAAAATCAGATTTTAAAGCAACAATTAACCAACAAGCAGACAAATCGGAACTAAGCAGTTTTGTAGTGACTGGTTTATTTTATCCGCCCCGAGCTGAAGTGCACCCCAATCGGCGAAAAGAAATTTAAAGACAGGTGGTTACAAGCTGGTTACTTCTTGCACGCGTTCTGCGTGTACACAAACTGCATACATGCCGGAGTAAATTAGTTCCGCGAACTCAGCTTGCTCCGCGTCTAACATGTATATGCTTGCACGCCTTAATGTGGCGGTGCGTACCAAAAACACGCCCTCTTTTGTTCCGCTCGGAGCGGATATTACTTGGTTTTATTTTTGCCCAGGGTTTTGTCTTATTTTATACATATAGTCATCTATAAAATGCGGCCTACAGACATGAATATGGCGCTATATATAACTTAGGAGATCGGTATGAGCATGACCCCAAGGTAGGCCAAAAAGAAAGAGGGCGCTTCAGTTGAACCACGGTGATAAGTTCAAGAAGTCGGACACAGCCATTCAGTAAATCTTATTGCCAGCATGAACGGTACCACAGCAAAGGACAAGCCTCCGTACATCAGAAACACGACCTCGTAATTGTTGGTCATGTCGTACGTCCAACCTGCATGGGAAATCAAAATCAAAAAGTTACAAGGAACAGGCGCTACAATGTGGACAAAATTTGCAAAAATGTCATGCCCTTACTACTCAATTTGTTTTTTTTTTTCCAGAAATGAAGAAGCTATCGTAACGCTTGTGAGCCAGCGAGGTGCAGTTCCCATCAAGAGTCTCTACCGCTAGGAAAATTGCGCCCTCTCTTGGTCCCGCTCGTGCCTCATACTTGGCTCTTCTACCCCAATGTACAAGCGCCACTGTCAGTTTTGAAATAAGCTATGAAGCAGCTGGTGTGACACATTCAGGGACGGACCCAGGGAGCCTGGGGGCACACCCGTGTCAAGAACAGGGCCGCCCGAGCTCGACCAATACGGGCGATTCACAATAGCGCGCCACCAAGAGTTTGCAATATATTGGCCAATCACAACACACGAAATTTGTCGACCCTTTCCAAACGCACATTGGGTCGACAAATTTCGTGTACTGTGATTGGCCAACGCGTTGCAAACTCTTGGTGGCGCACTATTGTGAAACGGCCGTATTTCATGAAGTCACTTCCCACATCAGATTCTCGTGATGCGCGTCGACTACGCCATATTTCGAAAATACAAAGTACTGGATCAATATGACAAAGAACCATTGCAAAAGAAGAAAGAAACACAATCCCTCTATTATCTTGGAGGGTGCAACGGGCGCGTGCACAATCCCAGTTGCAAAACCTCCCACAGGCTTTCTCTTCTTTGCTGATGAAGGCGCACCTCAATAAAGGGCGCATTGGCCTATTGAAAGCAAGTCAGGGCCAACCACAAACTTACCCGAAACAGCCCCGCCAAAAATCTGTCCAGCACCCAAAGATAGGTACTGCCAACCGAAGGCCGCCATCCGTCGCTCTTCAGCTATGAGGTCATGTGTTACTGCGAACGTGAGAGGATAGGTGTAACCAATGGCAAGTCCTGTCAAGGTGGCTAGACCACTCAGGGCAGTGAAAGAAGACACGGCTAGAAGGTCGATCATGCACGACACGCCGCACAGGAGACATGCTAGACTAAACAGGTCCATGGGTTTGATGAGTCGGTGGTCAGTCAGGAAGCCACTCGTCAAACGTCCAAGAAGCGAACCCAACCCAGCAAAGGTTGACAGGAACGAGGATTTTTGATTGCCGTAGCCCAAGGCCACCGCATGCGGAACGAGAAAGAGCTGCCAACCAGAGAAGACCGCGCCCGCGAGGAAAGACGGTACTTGGAACAAGGAAAATCGGGGCTCAGTTACAAACAACTTAGGGTCAAAACGATCTAACAGAGTACGGCAGAGCGCCTTACACTTCCCACCAATCGCTCCTGGTACACCATCAGTGTTTTCCGTTGCCTCGTCAGCGTCCATGTCATCTTTGTGTGGAGCCTGCCGATAACCCGTTTTGGAGTGAAACGATGCTTTATAGGTTCTGAGGAGAGCACCAAGGACGCAAATATTGAAGGTAACAGCACCCAGGAGAAAAAGGGCACCCCTCCATGTGTACAACGCAACCAACCATTCGGCGAAGGGCGGGATTACCATCATACCGAGGGTGCCTGCTGCAAGTGCGACGCCATTCGCGGTAGCAAAGCTATCAGGAAAATAGTCCATCAACGGCTTGAACGCAGACACAATAACAAAGGTTTCTCCAGTACCTGTGAATGATAAAAAGAAGGATGCTTTTGTATAGCTGGGTATAAGTCAATCATTTAGGCGTCATAAAGACGTTACACAACAGTAACTGCGTTGCAACTGTCAGTCGGTTTTTTCGGTTCTAGTTTGATACAATTACTTTATTTTACATCTGTTCATCCGACAGCACATTCAGTGCCAATTACAGGATGAAGTGATAATTAAGAAGGCAATGAGGAAACAAAAAGCCCGGATTAATTCTCCATGGGAACCCACAGAGTCAATCAGGGACTGAAAACCCAATCCACATGCTAACCAAGGTGGGATTCGACCCCGGGTTGCAGTGGGGGGGGGGGCTGAAGGCGAGGAATGAACCACTGCACCAATCTGAACCCTCATTTGGTACAGCATACAGGTGTCCACATAATGATTTCTTCAGAGCCTTCTCATAAGGTGTCAAAATGGGCATGGTCAATGTTCATTGTCCAGACTGCACGTGTTGCACACGGCCTAGCATCAAACACGACTGACTGAAGAGGATCGTGGGAAACTACGGTGGTCAGTAGGATCAAGTGCTCAAAAACGCGATGGGTCTTATATTGTCAGCTTCCGACCACGAACTATTAATGGGCCACAAATGAATGTGGGCCACAAAGCTTTTTGCTTGGAGGAGGCAACTTGTAAACATTACGATTTTTATTATTAATAATTGCACCCTACGGCATTCGCACTACAACCACGTGGCATGGACGTAAATGACTATTAACGTTTCTTAGACTAAACTTATAAGCCTTGTTATAATTTGATTCACAAGAACAGTAAATAGGCCTACTCAGTCATTGGTATACATAACTAGCTTCCCATGATGGATTCTGTGCCTCATTAACAAGAAATCAATTTATATACTACACTTGATGGCTTTTGGATTTTCAACGTATATTACTTATGTTACTAATATTTTGAATACACTTTGCTTACTGTCATTTGTAGTGCAGTAGAGAACGTAGGGCAGCGTGTCAGTGTTCAATCATTTCTCAGTGATTAATAAAAATAACGCCGAGTGAGGGCGCCAGCAGGTACCGGTGTATGCCTGGGATGTCAGCCAAAAGCAACTCAAAGAAAATATCTCAAGAAATTATACAACAAAGATATCATGATGTCCTTAGAACATTCCAATTGGATAAACACAGAATCTATGCAAAATCGCACCACCCCGTGAAACCTAGTGACTCTCAAAAACGATAACAAGCGTTTACTTGATAAGGCTAGCCATAAGGTAAGATGAAGGACAGAGGCTGACGTAGCGGCTCCAAGGGTACCAACAGCCATCACAGCGCCACCAGCGATGACAAGAATCCTGGGCCCACATGGTGTTAGTGCGCTGGCAAGAGGTGCTGTAAAAACAGTTTTAGAGACAAGTAAACAGTAACGTCCGAACTTGGATCGACGTCTCCAAGATGCGAAGAGTTTACATGTGGCCTTTCAAATGTTCCCCAGTGTGTTGTACAGTTGAATCAGTTATATCTCCGGAAAGCCTGCTAAAACCTTAGCATTAAGAGGTGAACCTAACGAATTAAAGTTTCTATATCCCTCCAGGTGACCCTAGATGGACAGCATCAATCGTCAACATTGACGCCAATATTCACGACCAAATTTACTACTCGCTCTCCAGTCGTGCATATTGCTGCGAAAGTTTTTCTAGCAAGCTACGCGGAGATGAAGTGTTCGCGCGCACGCGCAACGACCTTCATTTTTCGGCTTGATCTTAAGTCGTTATTCTGCTGGGCAGTTTCGGTACAATGCAGGGGGACAACGTTAAAAAGCAATCACTGTGTCTATAGCCGACAACTCCTCTCTCTACCTGGCTTAGCCTACTGGAAACAAAATCGCTTCAACATTTGCGACCGGGATACAACGAGTCGTGAATTTGGTCGCAAATAAGCGTCAATATTGACGATTGACGATGTCCCTCCGGGGCCATCATACTATATCTCCCTGTGGAGTGCTGATCTTATACCCAGACACGGGTTGGTAACTCGAGAAAATCCAGCGACATTGAAATGCCTCCCTAATGACCAATGTCTCCCTAAGGTTGAAAAATTTACCACAAAGTGACTCCCAAATGACCTATTTGTGATAACAATGATATTAATACTAACACAGTGTTTAGGCTTATGATAACGATGCCGTATTTTGTAGATTTGACCTCCTGACAACTGGACTCACTCCGAGATCGGAGAGAGAAAGTCTGTAGGAAATTTACCGAGAGAGCGAGTGCCTCGATCTGCCGTGAGAGATTCTCGGATTGGTTTCCTAAATCTGAGTATACCACTACTGACCTGCAACTACTCAATAAACCTAAATATGTATCATACAAATGCAGAACAAACAGGTTTAGGAGAAGCCTGATTCCTTATCTTACAAACCTAATGAAATCTTGATTTTGTCATCTCACTTGTTTTCATGAATGATGATGTCGCTCCTCTCGAATCTTGCCTCTTTCTATTTCTTTTTTCTCTCTTCATTCTGGTTTTAAGTGGTCAGTTGGTCTGTGTGTTTTATTTATGCAAAACCACATCGATTCAAACGATGCAAGTTTTAGTTGTACAATTTTAATTTGACGTATTAGTGTGAGACTTGTCAAAGAGGTCGCAATTCCGTTTTTACTGCAATGATGTCGTTTGTTAATAAACCATTCATAAAATAGTTTTGTGCCACCTATGAGTTCCAAAAAAGGAAAATTTTTGATCAAAATGTGAGACGAGCATCCCTTTCAGAATAAGACAACAAAAACGAACCGCAACATGCTTCAATTCTATGACATTTAGCCGACTACACCAAGCTCTCGCGAAAGCCCAACGATCCAACAAAATATACGTCTGTGTGGTAACACATATCAGATCAGTGAATGCTGTTTGCAGTGAACTGTCTCACTATCTTGTTTAAACTCGACTTCCTTGGCTAATAGTTCTAGTTGGACATTGAACTTACCGAATACTGAGCAAAGACTACCGTAAATGCCGGTCGCTGTTCCCACGGCAGCCACAGACGCGTCAAGGTCGTTGACGAAGTATGGGATGAACACACCCATAGCCTTAAAGAGGCCGAGAGTAAGGAAGGACAGAGATGCTTTCGAGAAAAGAATCATCCACCGCCATGACAAACTGCGAGACTGCCCATCGGTCATCTCCATATTGCACCTGCGTCACCAAAATTAAATGTACAATCCCAAAAAACTTGTTTTGATCTGCATCAACATGATGACGTCTTTCCAATGCATGTATGCATTGAGTTAATTGTTCGTAAATCAAGTTACATAACACTCACCAGCCAGCATTCACACTGCACATTGCAGGGAAGAAAAGGGCCTCAAATCATTACGTGTGCGGACCGAATAACAATTTTGCATTGCTCAAAATATTCTCTGCAATTAGAGAATTTGTGGTCCGTGGAGAGGAGGATTTGTTAAAAAAGCAGAAGGGTGAAAACCACCAAAAAGACAAAAACGGAGCTTTCCAAATAGCTCCAGTTTGCAATGGAGTAAACATCAGTTTTCAAAATGGCGAAGGGCTTCGGGTTTATTTTTAAGGTCGATCATCTTTGGATGGAATTGTCTCCGAAAATCATTGTCAACCCGACAAAAAAGAAAGAATAGCAAAGGAAAGCTTCAAATTGTTGTGTGTGTGCAACACGAGAGAAAATTCTGAACATATTTCCAGATTTCGAGAAGAAGTATTTATCAATGTTGTCCATAGTAGCCGTAATCACCGGTGTGCAGCCTGCCGTGCATTTTTAGCCCGTGTACCGAGCGGTCAAAATCGCCATTCTACCTCGCCAGAGCCCACAACTGGGTGCGACCTCGCTATTCAATTTGTTCCATTGTTAAGTGACAAGGTGTGTTTTGCCTAACGACGTTTCATTTTTTGTGCCTGTTTGCTGAACCCCAAACACGGGAAATTCGTTGTCTTTGGTCGGAAGCATACCAACGCATCAATACAAGACAGTGCAAGGTCGTTATGAAGCCGAATAGCCTACGCTTCCTCCAGCCCGTAACACCAGTGGCGTCGTATCCAAGTTTGGGGGGTTAGGTTCAAAATGTAATATGTCAACCGCTCCAAGAAAGGTGTCAGTGCCATTTCTACAATGTTGTAGTTTTTCTTTGAAAGCCCTCGCTCCCGCCTGTTGGATACACTATTGACTCTATTCTTTTGGTATGTGACAGGTATGCCCACGAAGAAGTTTGCGTTTCACCAGAGAAATTCTCCTCACTCAAGGCCAACAGCGCCACTCTATGTTGTGACCCTCTTTTTCATAAGATAGACCTAAAGTCTACAGTAATAGTAGTTCGGTGTAGGGATATGAGAGAACCTATACAAGTCTCGGATGACTCAAGGTTTGTAACTCAAGCTTCACGGAAAATACATTGGGCTATGATACGGGGTTGCAGACCAGTATACGAGCTACACGATAGATAATAGCGAAATATCTGCACTTCGACAGTAACAACGATAAATTAGGAGGAATACACACACACATTTCTCAGGTGTTCAGAGACACATGCAAAAGTGGTGAGTCACATTCGCTCGTCCCGGAGCTACAGAGATTAGTTACACCGGCTACAGATTTTGGAAACAAAATGGCTGTTCACTATGTGTACAATGGGGCATGCAGCTTGTCTGTGCTAACTATCCGCGTGCACTGGCGCATACACCTGCCACTTTGTTTTCAATGATAATGGCCTGTTTGTTTCACACGGATCTGAATCTCGCTCAGCGATCCTATAGCTGGCTCACACCATCCATTTGGAGAGTTTTGATGTCTGTAAACCAACGGCAGATGGTGGATCGTGATCCAAATTCGTGTGAAACAAACATGGTCCAAATGGTGATACTTATGCTGAATCTATCTCGGCTCTGGCTCCCTGCCCAGCGCGAGCAACGAGCGAACGATTCCCCGTGCAGTCCGCCACCTAGAGGTTGCCACGGATACGCCCTTCTCTGGATTACAGTCGACAAAAGCATAGCTGTCTTGCATTTGACCGTATGT